CCCCCCCCCCCCCCGGTTACGGGCCTGTGTTATTAATATATTCTTTGGGTACCGATACTATGTTACTACCTCACTTGCAGTTCGGATCACGAGCATAGTTCTGCTAACTGGTGCTACTGATGATATGACAGTACTGAAGTACAATTATAACAATATCGCATCGACATTCATTCAGTTCTTCTCCGAACTCTATCTGAAAACAAACACTGACGCATATCTTTGTGTACTCATTGTCGAATACCAACAACACCGTTAAAGTCACTCACGTGATCACTTAAGCATCCTAGAAGAGGACAGAAAAGATGTTTGGCTACATGTACAGTGTGCCAGTGGTTAGTTTAAGCTTTTATTAAAGATAGATTCTTTGTCGTGGGGCATGCATTTTACTTTAACGTAGCTTGAGAAAACCAAGCAAGGAACGTCTGAAGATTTTATTCGAACCGGACGTACAAAAGACGTCGAGTGCATTAAAGGCTTCCTCTTATCACGACTCGGATCAGTCACGTGGTACCTGAATCAGAAAAATATACGCTAATATATTAGACTGGTGAAAATACGGACGTAGCTATGCTTAAGAGAGACATTTTATTGTTTATATTGCTATTTCATAGTGGTAAGTATACGCACTGAAGCTTATCCTAAAATAAATGGGAGTTTCAGTGGATGAGAGGCGACGTGTGTGTGTGTGTGTGTGTGTGTATGTGTGTGTGCGCGCGAGCGAGCGTGAGTGCGTGAGCGGGACTGTAAGTGGGCACAGGCATTCAGCGTGTGTGCGATAAGGGCTTCTGACTGACAACGCGTTTATCATCTTTCAGGTTTAAAAACATATCTCAATGTATGAAAGTAACACAATTGCCGGTAGATCAAGGGATATATTGTCTCCATTTTTGAATTCAATTTTTCAATAATTTCATGTTTATCACATCGTGTATAAGATCGAAAAACTCGTGACATGCAATTATACACGTTTCAACACTGATGTCGTCCTTGGCTCATTCTTAAAATGTATGTTAGATGTTAGAGCCTTATCAGTAGGGCACGGCTTGTATAAACAGATGCACAACTAGAGTTTATAACTGAATATGACGTGTAGTCTAGCTGTTTTAATTCCAAGGGACGAAATACAAAACGAACATCAAACTTTTACCGGCTTGACATTAAAAATTCATGGTTGCTTAAACACTCGCTCGCTCTCTTTCTCTTTCTCTCTCTCTCTCGCTCTCGCACGCACGCACGCACACACACACATACACACACACAGAACTTCTTTTTTCTATTTCGTTGTGAAAATACACATCACCCATGTGCGCGAGCAAATGTATAAATACAACTTTACATGCGTGTATAGTGCTGGGGTGTCGCATGTAGCAAGAAACATGTCTTCTAGGAAAAGCACCAAAGGTTACACGATATTTATTTGTCCCTGGGTTAATAATTAACCAATCCCTGCCAAGGTAATAGACTAGCTTATAGTTACTGTTTAAGGATACTGTAAGCACTGTGTATTATCATCCAGGTACCGAAAATGAGTGTTTTTCTGCCCCCAATTATTCAAAACAATAACCCCTTCGAAAATATAAGAAATTGGCGTTTATATTTCTCGTTGCTATGTATAGGATATATTAATGACGCCATTAAATTGGTGTTAAAGCGATGTTCGTGAGTTTTCAGGTAAAGAAGAAATTCAAGAAACCAATTTTACCATTTTTACCCAAAAATCGCAATTATGACGTCACTCGTAAGATTAAATCTGCGTAAATGTTTATTAATTTAGTCAATGAGCACTAAAGATATCTGTTATCCTAATGTATGTATGAAAGGCAGTAAATAAGGAGTATTAGACAAACGCTTTCAGTATCCTGAGTTTTTATGGACGTAATAGAAAAATTATAAGAAATGAGACGAGGCATGCATTTAAGAAGATGTCTACAATTTGTTATTTTAAATGCGGAGGACACGGCAAGCAATTTCAACGGTTTCGCAGGTTGTAAACGTTTATCTTTACTCTACTTTACTTTCTATTTACAGTGGGAGTAGGCGGAAGTAGCGTTACACTAAGTACGCCCAACGCTACAATAAATCAAACCACCACAGGAGGCGAAGCTACAACAACAAACACATCCACACTGCCATTCAACAGTACCTCCAGGCAAACTTCATCTCAACCTCAATCGAAAGACACAGCCCCTGGAAGAGCCACAACCTTGCAAGCGGATATGACGTCACCTAGAAACATGACGTCACCAGGGTTCACGCGTTCTTTTGGACCCATAAATGGACCTCCCGGTAACATGTCAATTCACAGTGCCTAGCGGGGAACAGCATTATTTGCAAAATATGAAAATTTGGTGGGATTCAGTTGGTGTTGAAGTGGATGAATAATGCAACTTTATGCTTCCTCATTTCCCCCTTTTTTAAATAAAAATTGGCAGCACTTTTTAGTCCACGAAGTACAGTATTGTTTCATTAACTTTCCAGGGCAAATAACAGCTCATGCGTAAAGAATTACATTTCTCTGTGATGATTAATTTTTTTATTTAGTTCTACCTTTACGATCTTTATACAACTTTGGTGCAACCCTGTAACATCCTCAGCTTAAGCATGGTGTTAGTCAGAAACTTCAACAAGGGAATTTATTGCAAATGGCATTCTTCTAGATCTAAATAGAATACTGTCTATTTCAACTGAACCTGTTCAACTTCGGGCTTTGATGAACTAAATGAAATAATTGCAATCGGTGGATAGGGGAGACCGGGGCTAGTTGGTCCCCTTATCAATTAATGACAAAGTAAATATGGGGTAAAAGAATTGATCACATCATTTTGTAAAGTGACCGTATCCAATAGTGATAAGAAAGCGTCGGCAGTGAGTCCAAATGAAATGATTTAGCATCTTAGCATATTAAAGAGATTTAATGGGGGGGGGGGGCAACTTACCCTGGGGTCCAGCTAGCCCCTGTCTCCCCTACTGGCTTAACTGGGTGCTTGTAAATATAGTGTCATGCGTCGTCTCTTCAGAATAGGGGGGACTAACTAGGGGTAACTCCTCTATTGCACTGACAGCTGACATTGTTTACTTTTCCAGAAGATGACTGCAGCGGTCACGTGGCTGGCATCATAACGACATCCCTCCTCGCCGTCGCCTTTGCAGTGGTAGCGGCTGTCTTTGCACTGAAGTAAGCTTTGACACAATTATTTCATGCCAGTGTAGAACTTGTAGGACACTTATATGTGAGCTTGTGTTCTGCACTAACTTTGATCTTTAAATTGAGTTATTTCTGTACAATTCGAGGAGCACAAACGTCCTCCAAGCACAAATGAAAAAGTTTAATTACATTTTTTTTTTGTAACTTTTCTTCAATTTGTGACATAGGCTACTACATGTAGTGCAGTGCACACATTTCAAGCGGTCACTCAGATAAGTTAACAAAATGCTCATCATGTTGATGAACCATCTTTCAAAAAAAAGACATTTGTAAAAAGATCCATAATTCTCACTACATCTTTCTTAAATATAAATATAGTAGAATGTAGTTCTGTCCAAAGTATCCATAGGCCTATTTATATAGGTTCGTATAGGACGTCCTATAGAAAATTGGCCCAAAGTCCTATGGACATACATATCGGACGTCCGACAGAATTCTTAAAGAGTCCCATAGACTCCTATAGCATTTCTGTAAGGTATAAATGTTATTTATATGCCGACCTTTATTTTCAAAAATTCAGGTGGCGACAGGCAGTACAGCACGGTGGTCAGACACCCCCGCCCCCCATCGAAAAACCGTTCAGTTTATCCATCGGAAAATCCGTAAACGCAGGCACGACTATCAACACAAGTGGTGTGAACTATGAAGTATTACCCAACGGCAGCTCAAAAGATGGCCCTGTTGCTTACGTCAACATGGCAAATGGCGGCCATGAACAGCCTGCAGATGGCGCTAATTATAGTAGCGCAAATGAAGTTGTAAACGACACCAATGCGTCGGATGATGACCCGATATATATCTCAGTTAAAGAGCAGGGTGATCGACAAATAAACTTCAAGGACTACGCCGACGCTAGGAGAGATTTTTACGCGAATTCAGGGCAGAGACATGAAAGTATTGGACCGGAAGACGTATATGAGAACGCTTCTGAAATGTCGCGCGGAGCTGATTTATATGGGAACACTTTTGATTACAGTGAAAACGAGAAAACTGAATACCTGCAAGTATTTTGAATTAATCGTTTTAAATAATTTTCTTACAATCTATATTTTAATATTTAGATGAGTGTATATTTTTATCTGATATGTTGATGAAAGAACTTGACGATGTATGCACTAAGTACATGCCATCCGTGTAATAGCAATAACGAATGCTTATTCTGCAAATTGCTTGCTGAGTTTCATTTGTGTTTACGGATGGAATACTTTTTATGTAAGGAATTTGATGAACAAGCAGTTAGGCATGTACGTATTATAATTAAGTTACATAAATTCTTTGAGAACAATAATTCAGCTGAAGAAAATTATTTTGACAATTATCTTTGTCATTTAATCAGTGAATGCAGCAAAGATCATTTATATAATATAATATCACGACTTTTATTTGATAAATTTGGAAAAGTAATTTTTTTGCAAAACAAGTAGCTTAACTTCTTTGAGTAACAAGTAGGACGTCAGCATTAGTTTATAAGGGTGCCTTGGACTCTGAGCCCAAAACTGTATATTTAGTGAAGTCTTTAGAGCCAGTAGACGGTTTTTTCCTCCAGATAGGGCTGCATCCATTATTGCTTTGACTAGTTATCACAGACTGACTGACAGTTTGGTCTTCACGAGGACTTAAATCCCCAAGTAATGGCACTTTGGTTTCCTGGTCGTTGTTTAATTCTTCGCCTGCCGGTAACGCGAAGGCTTCATGTGTTGAGCACGTGGGAGAATCCCGTGATGGTAAGGTGTTTTCGTTGAGAGTCGGGCTTGTGGTCATATCACGTGCTGACTGCGTGACAGAATGGGTACTCCTGTGAAGTGATTCGCCATTCTCTTCGCTGATATTATGAATGTTGGTTTTTGAGTCTGGAGCACCTCCAATTTCCTCCTGTATCGCGTCATCCCTGAGAGGCGCCGATGACCCGTATCTGTATGTGACCTTTTCACGGCAGTTACAGCTGTCAGTGTAATTTGCGGAACACAGAGAACAGTGACGTAACGTAATTGCGCTACCCACAGACTGATGACGTTGGCCAAATGTTTGTTCTGACTGTCCGCCATATGATTGGTTCCTGAAGCTCAGCGCTGTGGACATCGTTCCAATGGTGCTTCTGCGAGACTCTCGTCTGACCTTATGACGCTGAGCTGATTGCCGAAGTTGCCCAATAACCTTAAAGAATAAGTTATTATGATTTTCAATTTTTATGTAAATTTTGGGAAAAAAATCTTACACAGGTTGTAAAACGTGAAAAGTATACAGTTTGAACATGAGGGTCACAGTGTTTGTTTTTATACCTACTATTATTGCCCTGTTTCTCTTTAAATTATCGAGATATTTTAGCAGAAGTCACAAACAAAATTTCAAAAGACACTGTACATTGTGCTATGAATTTAAAGATGTGTTATATGGAGTAGGTAACCATGTAGGCCTATTACTGAATGGAAATTTCACATCTTACCTCCCCATTAAAAAAGCAGAAGATAAGTGCCACCAGAAACCCCTAAAACATACAAATATATCTGTTCAAAATATAGCAGAATACAGCAGCATGACCAAAACTCTATAAAGAATACTAATTAAATACTGATAAACTATAGGTCTAACAAAAGCATTTATGAAAAGCAGCTGGTCTGATCTTTTTAAACAAAACTTTTAATCTGCTTTGTTCATAGATAAACCATTATTTGTCCACTTTGAATTAAACCAAAGCCTCCGCATTAGTGCCAAAAACCACTTTGTTAAAATGGCTGAACAGACAAAATTTTCCGTCTTAAAATTTAGAACGACTTTCATTGTCCAAGTCAGTTTAGCCAAGGTCCTTAACCATACCAAATGCCACCGTTCGCCCTCTAAAATCCCAAATATTTTCAGGTCCCTTCACCGTGCCCCGAACCCCACGCCAAGAGGGGTGGGGGGTCGGATTCGCATCCACGGACCCCCCCCCCCTTTCAAATACCAAATATTCATGGATTCGCCCGTGTTTACCTGAGTATTGGCGAGAACTGCCGACAGTATTTCGTACCAACTAAAGTCTACATTCTTTTCCTGAGGTCGGTAAATGATAGCTAAGAGCTGCAGTCCAAATAATGGCACCAGAACAAAAGTGGCCTTCAACCCGCGCCTGGAATACAGGGATTTAGTAGATGATTATGATTTTTTTTTTCGGATATTTTATATCAGCTGGCGTCTGAATGAACATGTTTTCCTACTAAGATTTCATACCTGGAATATTAAACGTATGAAAGACAATGTGTCGAAGAAAGATTTGTTGTCTTGGAGCGATCTTTCTGTGGGATAATATGCACAAGGGTGGATTTGTGTGTATGCTATCTCCACTCGGCAAATTTGGCCTCACCCTTTGTAAAGCGGTTGACAATAATAAGCACTTTGTTCAATGAAATAGTACAAAAGTAGCCGAGTGACTTGATATAAACTAGATAAACTACAATAGTTTACTTATTAATATCGTGAGTGCAAAAGGCTTAAATGCGGCGTCAGCGATAAATAAAATGTGAGAACAAACTCGTGTCAGGTGAGATCGCTGACGGGAATGTGTTAGGTGAGACGACTTACCTCATATCACAATACAACCCCATTGTGCTTGTTAAAACCAGGGAATTATACCGTAGACGATATACTTCCATGTTGAAACAACACACTATACATTTAATATTATCCGAAGCTTACCTGTAATTACTGGGCTCGTTAGGATGCCGCTGAAGTTGTGTGAGTAGAATACGTAGAATGTTGCACAAAAAGAACAAATTCATCTGAAAATATAAAATATTGATTTTGCATAATCCACCTCTGAATCAAGCAAGGCCAATATAAAAGTGATCTTGAAGAAAATGATTGTGTTATGGTTTGATTTTTGATACTGAGCAGATCAAAATGGCCAGGATTTCATTACCAATTTTGTTTTAGATTTTGACAAAAGTCAAAGACATTGTTAGCAACAGTCGCCATACTAGCATCTAGTATTAGTTCAATAACACTTTTGATATAAACAATATACAAAATTATCAAGAGGCTGAAAACGTCATCACGCAATAAAACATCCCGTATGCCCAATGTTATAACATTGAATCATTTTAATAGCCAAAGTATCGAGTTATTTCCCAGTAACAGCACAGACACATCAAACATTCATCACTTTCCTGTGCTCGGTAACAGCTGTGAGAGCATATATGTATGTTATCGTTGAAAATTCAGCATTTAGTTGTAGACGGGTTTCACAGTTTATTGCGTAATAACTACTCATTTATGATATCGTACATCACACTAAATGGTGTCTGAAATTTGAGGTACACTCAAAATTTTGTTCTGAGATAATAAAAATGATAATTTGCCATTATGTACACTTCATATCGACCTATAGATTAAATTATTCTTAGGAGCACTTATATTTGCGATATACCAAGAATGTAGTAAAGTCAACTTAACTGATGGAGAGGGAAATCGTCGTATTTATTAAAATGAAGGCTCTGTTACTCTTTTTTTTATTTAATACACCGTTATCTGATAAAGGCGAATTTAGAAGGATACATGTAGGCTTCAGCTGTTCTTTTAATTTTTTTAATTGGTTTACCTGCAGACACTTCGACAAAGACAGGCCCCTTTGCTCACCATCCCGGCCCTCCCAACCCTATACCAAAATACTGTATCCCCGATGATGTCACGTCACGCACTTTATTTTTTTTTTTTCAAGTCCCGTTGTCTCACGCGAGATGTAAGATACTGAATGTGTGATGTGATTCCTCGTGTGACGGAACGAGATATCGCAAGAGGCGTGCATGTATCATAAAACTGTTCCCAGATGCCTCTGTTATTGTTCTATAGTATGAGTTTTACTTACAACCAAACTGAGCAAATTAGGTGTGTATATAATCCACTCGAACCCTGCCATATTAGGTACCCAGCATCTAAACAGAAAAAATAATAGTAATACATGTGTATATTTGACACGAGACGATATCATACAGGTACATGTATGCTATTTTAACAAAAACAATCCAAATCTTCTTAATAGCCATTAATTTGAAAAAAAAATACGCTGATTCAAATAAGTGTGCACAATTTATCCATAGCTGCATTAGATTACGCTGAATGTTGCGTTTTCATCGTTAGGCTACTGACGGCATACATGTACACTTGTAGGCCTATTGTTTTTTGTATGCTAGTATGTCCCGCTTTTTATTTTACATGTTACCATAAAAGTGATATACATAAAAATGATATACACACTCTCTATTCTGTTTGCTGGATGCCTTAATCAAGCTATACACTGCGACTGGAAGGAGTGGGAAACCTGTGAAAACAAGGGAAAAAACATTCATGGCCAACCATAATTACTGTATAAGCTATATTAAATGTAAATATAGGAAAATGGATTTTCTTGCCTGAAAATAATCTCAAAACGAATACTAGTGCAGGATACTAGTACGCTCGCGTGTGTAGGCCTGGAATATAAAAATGTGCCAAAAAATCGTCAAGCTAAAACCAACCACAGCCTTTTGGATGTATTCATCACATACATACCCCAGCCATATGCTAGATATATCCACCATAAATATACCCCAGCCTGCTGGATATATTTACCATAAACAAATCCCAGCCTACTGGATATATCCACATATACATACCCCAGCCTACTGGATATATCCATCACATACATACCCCAGCCTACTGGATATATCCACTCGAACCCTGCCATATTAAACCTGCCATATCCACCATTAACATACCCCAGCTTACTGCATTTATCCACATATACATGTACGTACCCCAGCCTACTGGATATATCCACCATAAACATATCCCAGCCTACTGGATATATCCACATATACTGTACATACCCCAGCCTACTGGATATATCCACCATATCTTCTTAGGGGTTTGGAATGTTCGGACGATGAGTCTGTGCAGGTAAAACCCTTCCAGAAACATCCACGTGTAATTCGTCATACGAATATAACGGGTCAGCATGTAGAGAATCTTACAGCCGATCTGAAACGAATTCACTGCATGTTCAAAGTTGTACAAGGATTTCGATTTGGATATGATTATCAGATTCAAATGTAAATGGAGGATTCGTCCTCTAAATATAATTTACAAATAAAAGGCAGAATACATTTTCTACCTTATAATTTGATAAACTTGCACCCCTACCTGTGTATCATAACTAATGAATCGAATGTAGCCCCCCTACCCCCCCCCCCCCCCCCCCATTGTACAACAACGGATACCAGTAAAATAATCTTGTTAACGGTTATACATATTTGAATTAGGATTCTTTTTTAGTAAATTACTGTTCCGAATTACTGTTCCAAACAAATAAAATTAAGTATTAGTTGAAGATAATGTATTACTCACGTGGTTCTTATATATAATAGATGTCTCTTTACTGTGTGACAGCCGATCCAGAAACACCACGGAGTCCAGTATGATGTATATGACGCCCGTTAGGATGAAGGAGATGAACAGGTTGACGTGAATCTGGACACGATGCTGGGTAGAAAGCTGTCTGGTAAACACACAAAAGTATAGTGTGACGCATGTGATATTGTGTTAGTTGAGATGTGTCCATTGTGTGGATTGCGTTGGGTGAAACAATTTAGGAGTTAAATTGTATGATGCTTGGCAGATATATGCACTGTACAAATATATGGCCTATAGTTGAAATAGTGTTGGTTAAGATACTGTGCTGAATAAATTGTTTGGTGACTCATTGTGGTGGATCGAACTACTAGGAGAAGGATAGTGCATTGGTTGTTTCAGTGTGTTAAGTGTGTTATTGTTTTATCCTAAAAATTCCAACGGTTGTCATACACTTTGTACAAATTACTAGTGCCTGTCTTACATTAACAACATCAAAGAAACATCACAATCATACCCTTCAAATTACGAGTAGTACAATTTATTCTGATCTCCCATTTGCAACAAATGACTTAAATAGGAACCAAAACAATTGAATGCTTTGGAATTAAGCCAGACTTACTTAAAGGACAGGAAGATGATGACAGCAGGCACCAAGGCAACGATACCCACAGCATTGCAAGCTATCCTTACATAGATTGTGTCTCTCTTCGCCTGGAAACACACATAATACACCGCAGCGTGAAGAAAAATTGGTAAGATACATGGTAATGGTAAAAAACCAATATATAATTAAATTGTATGAAAGATGGCAAAAAAAACGTTTTATTTCAGACATTTATTGTTTTCGACAATAATATAAAAACATATTTCATATGCATAAACTGCACTGATGAACTCCCCAGTGTTTGGAAATATACCAGAACAAAAATAAATAAATAAATAAATAAATAAATAAATAAAAACAACCAATGGAATTTATACCAGTAGAATGTCTGAGCTGCACCACAAATGGGCTTCAAAACAAGGCTGCATACGACGTAAGCAATACTACACACGTAATGGTTTATTTACAAATAATACGACATTTCTCTCTCTGTTTTAACAAATTCTTACGTACCTTGTACATCTCATAACTTATTCTTTGATAATCGATATTTTTACCTACATTACTGCAGATACTGACCCCGATGGTGATACAACTAGAGTAATTGGTCCACTCTTGGTTAGTGTCATTGCTGCGCCACCAGGTTCCCTTGTCTGTGCATGTTTTGGTTGCAAGTTCTGCAAAACGATGGGTACCAGTATTCTTTTCGTTAAAATATATCTTTTCTGACTATCAAATACTGGCACAGCATTAAATTAACAAATCCAATGGGGCATTGTTTTTTCTTTATTTGACTATAATTTTTTTATGTCGAACCAGGTCAGATTAAATACTTTTTTAGTTTTTATGTTTGTTGATTTTTTGTTAGAATGGCAACCAAATCTATTTTTTATTTCTTGTTGATTTTTTTCAAAGAAACCCGGTACTTCTTTTCAGAGCCCTTGATATAGTGCAGATTTCGGAAAGAAGAAACACGGGGTATTCACTATGGGTTTTCGATTGATTATGGTATTTATTACACAAAATATTTCATTATTTTAGTGTCATTTTAGAAATAAGTAGAATATAAAAGTAAGAAATCTATTTCTGTTACCGGGTTTTTTTTTTTTTTTTTTGGTATCACGTGGTTATGCTGACGTCATAGTCTCACCTGATGTACTCACATGTTCCACAAAACCTGGACACGCCATTGAACCACGTGATCCAGCTCTGACGTCACTATCCCAGCAGAGCCACCCATCCCACGTGTAAGGGCAGTAACCTTCTCGCGTCTGAACTGACACCTGCTTTAACTTATCACAGCATCTGGCGGCCTCCTGGCAACATTGTCGCCACCTATCGCATTGTTCCCAGCTCTCCAACGAAGAACAAATCAAACTTGTCTTAGTTTTGTTTTCAATATCAGCTAGGATTGCTTTTGTAGCGTTCGCCGAAAATATAGATCCGTTGATAAGAGTGTCTTTATAAATGAGATAAGGTCCTCCGGGCAGGAGTATCGCGTTGTCCTCATACAGAAAACCAAAGCAATCTGCACATGCGATTTTGTTGAAGACATCGGGTGGAAAATACTGGCTACTTCTATGACGACACAATGGCGTCGCCGTCGTATTCTGAGAGTTTGAAGTGCGGATCTGAAATATAAATTTACAGAATATATAACAAGATTCCAATCACTTATGCTAAGGGCAAAACAATAATAAAATTATGAAGAAGTATTTTATAACAGAGTTCACGTGCAGGTCCAAATTAACAACGTTAGGGTATCGTTTAACCCACATAGACAACTGGTAGAAAATACTCATCGATTTTTTTAAAGTTCCAAATTAACAATATGTACCATATAAAAACAATGCTAAAAATATAATATCACTTTGACATGCTATAATTTTATTGTTTGGCAGATTCGGTCGCCGGTCCCTTTGTTATTCTTGATCTAATGCTTCCTGGGAAGACAAATCGCATAGAAATAGTTGACGTATGTGTTACTGTGTTGTTATGGAAACAAAATATTTAAAGCACAACCATACAGTAACAGCATACGTGGTTTTCACGTGGAAACAGCGTTAGTGCCTTTTAAATTTCCACATAAATGAGTTTATCATGAGGACAAACCACTGGTGTTTGAGGTATGCTGTAGGCCTACCTTAAAGTCACTCACGTTCACAAGAAATACTTTATTGCAAGCAAAGGATGAATGGGGGGCACATGTATTGCTAAGGGCATACTTACTGAACATGTCATCGTGTTAACTCTGATTATCGTAATGTACAGTCTCTGTAGCGTTATATAACGTCACGCCTTCAGTTTCTTTGATAATTATGTCCCTCAGTGGTAATGTTTCTGAACGACAACATTAACTACGTAAAAGCCTCAAGGCACGTGTAGCCATGCTTCACCAGACCGTTAATGTTTTTATGTTACATTTCAGTAATGGCTCTGGTGTAAACACGCGACATCCACAGCGTGTGGCCGGCAGAGATACAGTTCCTGGTCTTTGATTAATGCCTTATGCAACGCACGACTAGACACTGAATCTCAACAGTCGGCTTCAGAATTGAAGACTGTATTATCAACGGATGTTCTGTTTGACTAGGTGCTGAATGGAAGGTTTCCTTGCACGAACATGTCTAATTTACACAGTTGGTTTACGGTTTTTATATAACGCATGTTTTAATTGGCTGGAGCATTTTGCTGATGCGCTGTCTTTTTCTTTCCTTCTTTCTTTTTTTCCTTTTTCTTTGATTTATTCATTTAACAATAGATAATGATTGTCTTTTATTTGTTTATTTATTTATTTGCAAGTTCTTAACTATTTTTTATTTTATTCATTTCCTTTTATTTCTTTTTGTTTTCCTTTTTCACTGTGGTTTCTCCAGAGTCACCGTCGTTTTTTTTTTTTTTTTTTTTTTTTTTTTTTTTTTTTTTTTTTTTTGAGTGAATGCTTGTTTTCGTAATTACCATGTTTGTTCCAGTAGCATTTTTATAAAATAAGTTTTCTCCGAAGAACAACCTGGCTTCAATGCATTCAACAGAAGCTGCGTATTAGCTGACAGGAAGGCAAGCTTCCAAGACACAAGGCAATTTACCGATGTAAGCGTTAAAAAAACTACAGCACCAACCACAACATATGGTTGCATTTTTTCCAAGCACATGGTGTATTATGAGACGTATAAATTGATTCCAACAACATATAAATACAACCCGTGTGTGTTTGGTCTGCTTATGACCTTGCTTCGAGTGCTATTTTTTACTGTTTTGAATTGATTACTAAAGTTTTGATTCACTGAATCGCTAATTATAAATCATCTCTACTCTCGTTTCCGTTCTTCATCAATCACACGTGATAATGACAATTGAATGACGCTGAACTGATTGAATATTTCCAATGAAACCTTTTTCACTATTTCAGTTTACAGATACTTGAGTTTCAATATGGCATTACAAGACCAAAGTAATCGGCTATGGTGATTTAATAAAATTGAGCAATCTCCTGGAGAATAATACTTGGTATCAAGGATAGAATGATCTCTCTTTGACACTGATTTAGATTAATTCCACGGATAATTTCGCGATTTCACTGGCATAACATGGACAGTACTCTAACTGAACAGCTTATTGAGCGGTAAGTGTATTACCCAATCACCAGTAAAACATGAAATTCATATGATCACTAGAAAAATAGATACGTCTTCATCACGTAATTCCAATACAAAATATCAGTAATAAGGGAAGGCATTTCACAAGTGAAATGCAAAACAATGAAACTTCAAACCATCAAACTGCATGTAAATTTCCAGGAGTATTTCAGTTTTATTTCTCAACACAATTATTGGTGAGGTCACGCATCTGGTTTGACGACAAAATATATTAAAACCGAGGACATTGGTTCTTCTGTGTTTGGTTATATCTTTATATATTCTCATATCGCTTATTACTACATGTAAGTACATTGCATACTGAACAGCGACACAATTTTTTGCACGAATCAAGAAAGATTAACTGTTTTATAGCCTTTTTGTTTTATAGTTTTATGCCAAGGAGGTTTTGCTTTTGGTACCGTTTGTCTGTCTGTCTGTCTGTCTGTTAGCGATATTGTGCAAAAAGTTATGGGAGAATTTTGATGTACTTCTCAGACACTGACCAAGTATCACAATTAGTTGTTGGCTCTGACCCATTCATTAATAATTAATGAATTAATTAATAAAGTCAGTGTGTCTGTGTGCGTAACATAATGAAATACGTTATGGAAGGATTTTGATAAAATTTTCAGGTTACATGTAGATAAAAAATGGACTGCATTTTGGTAGTGATGAATAATTGAATTAATTTATTATTAATACGTTACTTGATTTATTTTTAGTAAATTAATTTAATTAGTAGAACTGAGCTAATAAATCAGATAATGAAATAATAAACTGACAACAATGAGACATAATCTGCCTTTGTGAAAGTCTGCAATCTCTGTGTGCATTTTTAACAGTGGATAAATTGCGTATTGAATGTAAACGACTGAGGAGCATAAAAAAAACTCAATTTCAGGAATGTCACAGTTTTTTCGACGAACCAGTATCATTTTTGTAACACAGTGATAACATATATTACGACTGTTTACATGAATTCCTGTGATAAAGCTACGTCCTGGCAATCTCGATTTTATAAAAGAAAAACATTTATCACATGGCTCCTCTTCTTGCAAAAACATTCTCCTTAACAATCCATAGCGTTGATTTGTTTGCATTTGATTATGTAAGCGAAACTCTGCATTGGGAATTTTCCTGTAATTAAATGCGCTAATGGCACACAGCTAATAACCCTGGTGTCTGTTTGTGAAAGTGATTGATAGAAAGACCAAAAAAGTTAGCAAATTAAGAGACAGGCTGTGTGCACTGAAAGTTTTGTCGTTTTACATGCGGTAGCAGTATTAAATTTGGATTAAAATAATGTTAAAATGATTTAAGCGGTAAAGTTCTTATAGCCATGCATTGGGTCTGAATATTATTTCCATACATATGCTGGCAATGTGTGTTACTTGCATATAAAAAAGTCACCTGAGGAAATTACCGTAGTCGCCAAAATACCGTTGACTCAATCTAGGACCCACTAAATACTTGTTAATTGTGTACTAGATTTCCTCGAAATAAAATCAAAACAGCGTGACAAAAGAAAACCCAAAAGAGGCTAGACCACAGAAGGGATATTTCAATTCATGCAAAATACTTAAATGTAAAAGAACCTTTGAATTTACTGGTACATGTAGACTTCCATGTTAGCTCTTCGGGTTGTCGAGATCGCATAATGTACGAAAACCGACCCAATATCAATATTTCAGAAACAACATCTTTAAAGCAAGGAATCAGTTCAAGTGGCAAACCTATTCCGAAAGCCATAATAGGCTTATAAAACCCGGTAGTCTCTGCGGTGATTTGCGATCAATAGAAAAAGAAATATATAAGTGCATGTGTTGATGCTTTTCTAACATTGAGGTTAGAGGTTTTATTATTAAATCAAGTGAAGGAGTCTGATATGATGTCCAACTTTTCTGTAATATCTCTGTGGAGATACACCCATTTATATTCCCTTTCTATAAGATTTATCTAAAGCGCGACATATAGTGAATTCCTTCTGATGATTCTATGTATTTATACCGATACATGAAGACCTAGTTTTGTTAATGTAAACGTTATAAAATTATAAAATTTCGGTTAAAATTAGGGGTTGTGCTGAAACATTCAGCTGTAGATTTAGGTGTGTGTGTGTGTGTGTGATTTGTGTGTGTGTGTGGGGGGGGGGGGACTATGATTCCCAAACACCCACTCCTCACCTGAAAAAAAAGGGTACCAGAGCTATTTTCTATGTAAATAGAATCAACCGACACGGACAAAAGATAGGTGTTATCAAAATATCATTCATTGTCTTAGTGTCTTCGTAAAACTGCAAATAAAATTATTTAATTATACTAAGTGTCTTTATAATGTTATTTGATGTTAAACCTCTTTTCTATTCTACCTAAAGCTTATGCATCAAACTGATTATTGACATTTGCTGAAGGTGTGCACCCATGCACAAAAAAACGTGATAGATTAAAGGCAACTTTTAATCAAATAATTAATTCATACTGGCACGTATATTTTTTTCAATAATCATGTCCACTGGTTCGGGCGACCTTAATCCGTTCTATAATCAGGACACCAAATATATATGTACGGCCAATCAAACAGCCTCGTGAACTGGGTTCAGACACTGAGACAGTGAGAGAAAAAAAAAAAAA